AACAAAGTTTATGATGAGGGTGGTGGTGCTCCTTCAGAATGGGATAAAAAAACAATGAGTCCCAGGATAACACTGTGAAGGACTAGGTAGCCCAACAGTCATGGACAATTAATCAGAAACCATTTGCTATGACTTTGCACCACACAAAGCAAGACATTTCCTGCCTGTATAGCATAGACCTGGGGGACTTGGACTGTTAGAGCGACATCAGAAGTGCTCGGTGTGGCCATCTCTTCTACTTCCTGTTAAATTGCCCTGAGGTGATGTATTTTTTCTTTTAATGGATTATTCTGGTGCTACCTAGTGGATGCGAAATATTTGGAAACTATAATGAATGTGATATCAAATGTAAAAGTGTGAATTTTTAAAAGACTCCACAATTTGGAGTGCTAAACAAGATAACTACCCTCAATAAAGTTTTGACTGAAGTAATATTTTTTTAATGACAGATTTCCCTTGAATTATAAACATACTGTAAATCCTTGAAAGCAAGCACTATTGTGCGGTTTTTATTTTGTATGAAACGACAGGGGCATATCTTTAGTAGAAATGAGGTCTCTCATATAAAGAAACAGGCTTTCCAAACAGAAAAGTCAACTACAGAAGAACAAACAGCTCTTCCCCTGAAGGAAAGTCGGTTCCCGCATATCCCACTTCTCCTCATCTTCAGCTCCTTCCCAGCAAGTGTGCACATCTTAGTTTACCTGGAAGATGTTCTAACACTGCTCTTCAGAAACACAGACTAAAGATCTGGGGGAAATTTTTATTGTTTTACAAATAAATTTGAAATCAGTAACTAATTGTTCTCTTGATGCTTTAAAGATTAAAAATTCCCCAAATATCCATTAACTGATGCATGGACAAAGAAGATGTTGTATATAATATATACATGTATATACATATATACAATGGAATACTACTCAACAATGAGAAAGAATGAAATCTTGCCACTTGCAACAACATGGATAAGACTGGAGGGTATTATGCTAAGTGAAATAGGTTAGTCAGAGAAAGACAGATATCATAGGTTTTCACTCATAAGTGGAAGTTGAGAAACGTAACAGAAGACCATGGAGGAGGGGAAAGGGGAAAAAATGGTTACAAACAGAGAGGGAGGCAAACCATAAGAGACTTTTAAATACAGAGAGCAAAATGAGGGTGATAGGGTTTGGAGGGATTGGGAGACAGGAAAAATGGGTGATGGGCATTGAGGAGGGGACTTGTTAGGATGAGTACTGGGTGTTTTATGTAAGTGATGATAATAAGAATCTACTCCAGAAACCAAGAGTACCCTGTATACACCTTATGTTAGCTAACTTGACAATACATTATGTATGTATTTTAAAAAAGGAAATGAGTCTGGAAAAAAAATAAAGATTAAAAATGTTATTTAAATCCTCTGTCAGCTGAGTATTTTATTTTATTTTATTTTTTACAAATAGTTTATTGTCAAATTAGTTTCCACATAACACTCAGTGCTCATCCCCACAAGTGCCCTCCTCCATGCCCATCCTCCCCTCCTCCCCACACCCATCAGTCCTCAGTTTTTGTCAGCATTCAAGAGTCTCTCATGGTTTGCCTCCCTCCCTCTCCCCCACCACTTTCCCCCCTTCTTCTCCCCCTTGTTCCTCCATCAAGTTCCTCCTAATCCTCCTATACGTGCAAACATATGATATTTGTTCTTCTCTGCCTGACTTATTTCACTCAGCATAACACCCTCAAGGTCCATCCACGTTGCTACACATGGCCAGATTTCATTGTTTCTCATTGCCATGTAGTATTCCATGGTATAGATAAACCACATCTTCTTGATCCATTCGTCCGATGATGGACACTTAGTCTCTTTCCATGTTTTAGCTATTTTGGAGAGTGCTGCTATGAACATTGGGGTACATGTGCTCCTATGCATCTGTCAGCTGAGTATTTTAGAATAATTTACAGAAGGGAGTAAGATCCTGATGGGTAGGCAGGCTTCCCAGGAGCTCACTCTGAGTTCAGAATGCTCTATCTGCTGACAGCTGCCCTGTGGCTTCGGGTGAACCCAGGCTGAAGGCACTGGTGACCTGGAGAAGCTGGAGGTCATGCTTTCCTTTCCCAGCTGTTTTTCTGAGGGAGGCTTACTGTCACCGCTTATTTCTACCACATCAACAAACACAGATAGTAAGTAGTCTTGCTTGGGTCACAGCTCTAGGTCAATAGAAAGATTCTTGTCTACTTTCTACAGTTTTTTTTTTTTCAAGAAAAAGTCAGGAATTTGCTCAGTATCTTGACATAAAATCCATGTTTTACAGTTTAACTTTTTTTGGCTGTGATCTCAAAATTTATACTAACAAATTTCTATTGACATAGAATTTTACACAAAATAAAATTAATAGATCTTAAGTGTATAGCTGAGTAAGTCTTGACAAATATATGCACCCATGGAACTATCCCCCAGATCAGGATGTAGAATTTCCCAACATTCTGAGGCACTTGGGTGGTTTAGTTGGTTAAAGTTCAATTCTTGGTTCCAGCTCAGTTCATGATTCTCTCTCTTCCTCTGTCTCTGCCCCTCCCCTGCATTCTCTCTATCTCTATCTCAAAATAAATAAATAAAACTAAAAAAAAAAAAGAATTTCCCACATTCTAATGAGTTCTCTTGTTCTCCTTTCCAGTCAATAATTTCCCTGCAAGTAACCACTGTTATGGATCTATCACCACAGATCAGTTTTGTCTTTTGACCTTGATATAATATACTTATGTAATATGTACTTTTGAACATGTGCCTTCTTTTGTTTGACGTAGTGTTTTTAAGAATCATATGCTTGTTCTTTTTTAAATGTTGAGTAAGAATGTACTACAGTGTGTTTATTCATTCTTCTCTGGTTTCTGGTTAGAAGTTATTATGAGTAAAGCTGCTGTGAACATTCTCACTTGGGTAGATCCTAACACTGCGATTGCTGAGTTAATGATCAGGTACATATTTAATGTTATAAGTAACTAGTGAGACCCTGTCCAGAGTATTTTACCATCAACATTCCCACTAGTAACATAGTAGAGTTCCAATTGTTGCACACCCTCACCCACATTTCATATTGCACCCTTGTCAATTTCATACATTCTGAGGGGTATGAAATGTCATCTCATTGTAATCTCAACAGCTTGTAAAAAACACTTGAGCCACCTCAGCACTCTCAAATGACCACCTAAATAAAGCTATCTGTAATTTAAAATGGGATATCATCACTAGCATAATGGGTCAAATGGGAAACAATAGATTGTATTTTAAGTTCTGTGGGGTATAGTTAGGACATGTATGCCTCATCAGTTTAGGAGTATAATTGAAGAGTGTGAACCAGATGTAGCTTGGCTTTTTAACATACAGTCTTCTTTAACCACTATACTTTATGGTTCATGTCACTGATCTAGTGATCTGGCTCACAGGAAGTAAAGAAATCTGTAGGGATTGCCTATGTATCAAATTCTCAAACAAATACTTTCTGAATGAAGCAAGACCTTTGGAAAGATTTTCTGTGACCTCACAAGAAAGCAGTATTAAATTATTCCTACTCTGTGCTCATGCTTGACATATATTATCTCATGTAGTCTTCACAAGAATCCTCTGAGGAAAATCTAATTATTGCTCCATGTCTTCACTGAGGAAACTAAGGTTGATAAATACTTCTTTGCTTGAAATAAATGTCTTTCTGAAACTTTTTAAATTAAATCCGTTGGATACAGAAAAGCATGTTGGATACTGAGAAACAGTAATCCATAGCACAGAGCGTGGGGAGGAAAAAGCTGTTTCTACATTCTGCCTTTCCTCCTTTTATTAAACCTTAGTTTTCTGGAAATAACTCTTTGATGTCAGCTTTAAGAAAGGCTTGAGAGGGAAGAAGGATCCCTACCTAGGGGAGGCAAGACAGGAGCATTACAAAAATGCCACATCTTCCCCTGACACCCTCCCCCTCTGCCCCTTTCCCTGAAAGGACCCCCTGTTTGGGAGACTGCCAGCCCTCTCCAGATTCTTTCATAACCCAGAGGCATCCCATCCTGACACAGTGATAACACCTTCCCCTCTGGGCCCTGCTTCCTCCACCTGTCCCACCTTTGATGCAAATAAACAGGAACCACTACACTAGATTATCCTGTTCTCATCCCTCCAGATTTTCACCAAAAATGCTAGGACTAAAGGACAGGCAGGGTGATGCTGAATACCCAGTTGGGGCTTCCTGTGAGGTCTTTTCATGAACCGCCTGCCAAAGATAAATGCATGGTAATTAGTTGATGTGGGTTCCCAGGGTGGCGCCGGACCCCTCCACAGGGCTGTCCCTGGTTCCTCAGCTCACCTCCCCTGGGTCAGGCCGCTAAAGCAACAAATTCCTGTGGGACAATTAGAGACCCAGGCATCACATGCCCTAGCAACATAGAGCTCCAGGGCACAGAGGCTCCGCCCACAGGATGACTCAGCCAATTGCAGGGCAGGCCGGTAGTGGGGGCAGGCCTGTTAAGCCAAATCCCAGGCCTTAAATGAGCAGCCTCCCATCGCCTCCAGGCCCCCTGGACACCCTTGACCTGAAGCTGTGACTGAGCCGCACAACTACACCTGCCATAGGTGAGATCCCCAGAACAGGCATGAAGGGTAGGGCCGCCTCTGAAAACACTGGGGACCCCAGCCTTGGGAATCAGAGATTTGGGCCTCCCAAGAGGCACTCTTCCAGGGCCTGACTCTTCCATACATGGCAGCTTGACCCCCACACTCCAAAACTCAGGGCCCCTCACTCCCTGCACTGCCATTTACATGTTCTGGAAGCAGTAGATGGGTCTGATGGCAGAGAGCAGGAGCCCATGCACATCCCACATTCCCAGCCTGCCTCCACAGCCCGTGTGAACACTCGGGAAGATAAATTCAATATTTATATTCTACTTTAGTGGTTCTAACATCTCAGAAGGAAGGATGGCATTTTAGATGGGTTGACCTAATCATAAACTCATTCTTGTCCTTTCCTAGGTTTTAAAACATGCATCCTTCTCTCTTCCTAGCTGCCCTTTGCCTGAGAATAGCCTCAGCTGCTCCACAACTCAATCAGAGCATAGATGAACAATGGTCTCAGTGGAAGGCAACATACGGAAAACTATATAGTGTGGTTGGTAACATTTAAGCTGTCCAGAGGGACCCCTGCAGAAAACATTCCATGCTGGTGGGAGTTCTTAGCAGGGAGTAGCTTCTTGAGGATACTCTTACCAGGGCAGTAAGCAGGGTACTGTGACTGTGCATAGTGTGGGTTTATGTCCTGCTGTATGGTTGCTGGAGAACATCTCCCAGAAGCATCAGGCCATCCCTGTCCATGGTCTCTCCTCCTCTCTGTGAGCATATCCACTAGGTATAGGTAATTAAGTTTTTTTAAAAAAAATTTTAACATATATTTATTTTTGAGAGAAAGATAGAGACAGAGATTGAGCAGGGGAGGAATGGACAGAGAGGAAGACACAGAAACCTAAGCAGGCCCCAGGCTTTGAGCTGTAAGTACAGAGTCTGACACGGGGCTTGAACCCAGGAACCATGAGATCATGACCTGAGCCGAAGTCGGATGCTTAACTGACTGAGCCACACAGTTGTCCCAGGTCAGTAGGTTTTAAATAGAAATAAAGATGATAAGCTATACGTTGGTCTCCAGGATGAAGAAGGCTGGAGGAGAGCAGTGTGGGAGAGGAATATGCAAATGATTGAATAGCACAATCAGGAACACAGCCAAGGGAAACACAGCTTCACAATGGCAATGAATGGTTTTGGTGACATGGTGAGTGTGGCACGGATTGCTGAACGTTTCATGCTTCCTCTAAGTACTTTCTCAAAACATCTCATGCTTGTCAATATTCTGTTTCCTTTTCCTTGAAGACCAGTGAAGAATTCAAGCAGGTGTTGAATGACCTTAAATTCCAGAAACTCAAGAAGGGGAAAGTCTTCCAAGCACCTCTCTTTGCTGAGGTCCCCTCATCTGTGGACTGGAGAGAGAAAGGCTATGTAACCTCCGTGAAGAATCAGGTGGGGCAATATTCAGCAGGTCCCTCTCAAGAGTATGGCAAAAGGAATCAGTGACTCTGCTATGGAAATTGAGACACAATATGCAGTTTGTTATGTTTTAAAGGAGTTTTCAGATCCATGAGCTGTTGTCAAAGTCTTGCTATTTATTTTGTAGGCTAAGAGCTTTTCATTTTGTTTTCAGGGTAACTGTCTTTGTTGTTGGGCTTTTAGTGCAATTGGTGCCCTTGAAGGACAGATGTTCCTGAAAACTGGCAAACTTGTTTCACTGAGTGAGCAGAACCTAGTGGACTGCTCTTGGCCTCAAGGCAATAAGGGCTGCTATGGTGGCCGAATGGATAAAGCCTTCCTGTATGTTAAGGAAAACGGAGGCCTGGAGTCAGAGGAATCTTATCCATATCATGCACAGGTCAGTGGTGTTCCTTATCTTTTATGAAAGTTGAGTATATTCAGTAAAAACAGATACGAAAGTTGGAATTCTTGTATTTGATCGTAGACTCTATGTCTGCAGATGGTCAGTACTGCCTTTAATGTGTATTAGCCTAGCAAAGCTCTCTGATTGGCTTATTATCATATAGCTGTTCCTACCTCTATGTTACATGGTGGCACGAATACAATTCTATCCAGTACTGGTCTCCACAGTGAAAACTTTATGAACAGTAGACCAAAAGAGTGTCTCATTGAATAGATGCCTGCTGATTTATTCAACTTCCAAACTATCAATCCCATTTTACGACCTGAGATATGTAATAACAAACTTGATTTGAAATCATTCAGCAGCAAACCGTCTTGCACTCTTGTTCCCCTGGAACTGGATGGTAGTGATCAAGTCTCTCCTCCTTTACTTTTGAAAGAATGAATTCTGTAAATACAAGGCTGAGAATTCTGCCGCCAACGTGACTGCCTTCTGGAGTGTCATAAACAAGGAGGATGGCCTAATGACCACAGTGGCAACTGTGGGGCCCGTCTCTGCTGCTATAGATGCAAGCCTGAATTCCTTCCAGTTCTATAAAAAAGGTTATCATGTGTCTACATAGAAAAGTGGGCAGGAAAAATGGGGAACCACCGTGACATACAGTAAGATTGACCCTTTGGTGTGTACAAATCAGGAGGGTGTGGATTTCACGTAGTTGTTCATTCTGCACATGTAACTTTTGTGCCTGTTGTTCAGCATGCTGTCATAACTTGACCCAAATCCTCATGCTTTCAAATATGCATAAATACATTTAAATGGTTACGTAATTTGATTGGCGTGGCTTAATTACTTTAATTTTTCACAACTGTTAGACCTGGAAATTTTCCAAAGAGTTTTACTAATGAAAAGGATGCTGGTAAGAACCTCTTGGCTCAAGTGATTTTGTGTTTTTCTGCTGCTTCCCTAGGCTGACATGGTAGAATAGAGTGACAGAGTTTCGACGAGTGGTCTTTTATGCCTCTTGACTGTCCCTCACAAAAGAGATTGTGACGATGTGTATTTCTGCTGGTATTAGATGAGGGCTTAAATGCCTAGCCTAGCTAAACAAAAAGCTCTGCTTTCTAAATTTTATCTGGATTTATATCACACCTGAATTTTGAGATGCCTCCTTTACTGTGGTGACTTGGTTTTTGTTAGATGTTATCATGTTGCTTGGATGTCCCAGCTCGGAACTGAATTTTACTTTTCCAGACATTTATTATGATCCAAAGTGCAGCAATAAGCACCCGAATCATGCTGTTCTGGTGGTTGGTTATGGCTTTGAAGGAGAAGAATCAGACAACAAAAAATATTGGATTGTTAAGAACAGGTATAAAAAAACAAAAATATTTGTCTTTGGAATTGAAAAGGAAATCCTTTGTGGAATCACTTTGTGGACACATATTATCAAACCCTTGAGCACACTTCTGAAATCCCAGAACTGTTTACCCTACTTCGTGGGAACAGAGATATATTCATTTGATGACAACATTAAGCTACTGCCTCAACTTTGCAAGGGTCTTGCTATAGTTTGAGCAGCACTGCATCTGAAACACATCTGACCCCAGGAGTTTCCTTCTCCTGTCTCTCATTTTGCAGTTTTGTGAAAAGTTTGGGAATAGAATTTTGTACTGGGTTACAACTCAACCATGAACAAGGATGACCTGTCTTGATTGTTCCCAAATCTGTCTTAGCCTCTGGGGCACTGCTAAGTATTGGGTGTTATTGTGCATAAAGAGAAATGTGTTTGTTCCTCTCTAATAAATGGAAAACCCTGTCTTCTCTCAGCTGGAGTGCAAATTGGGGCAAACATGGCTACATACTCATGGCCAAGGACCGGGACAACCACTGTGGAATCGCCACCTTGGCCAGCTTTCCTATCGTGTGAGATGATGGTGTAAAGAAGACCCTGACTGACAACAAATTATCCAGAAAATGGATTTTATTTTCAAGCTGCTACAACCTACTGTGTGTGTTAAAACACTTAAATCATTGAAAATCCAAGTTGTGATTTGGTTGTGCGACATTTTACACTGGGAATGTTACTTCTTCACTCTTTACTGCTGAAAATAGTCTTGTATGAATGACTTGTCCAGCAACTTTTGAATTTTCAATTTTTTGGAAGAATGTATGAAGTTTCACTTGTAAAAGTAAAACAGCTGCAGGGGCACCTGGGTGGCTCAGTTGGTTGAGTGTCCAACTCTTGATTTCACCCAAGGTCATGATCTCATTGTTCATATGACTGAGCTCCTCATTGGGCTCTGTGAGTTTAATAGCTTGGGATTTTAATTTCTTTAGAGAAACCCACAAATGTGGCCTAAATGCCATTAATGTTTTCTTCCACCATAAAATGTTGGAACAAAAATGAAGGACTTGAGTAGCGTATGATCTTTAAGCTTTGGTGGTAATGATTGAAATACATGCGCTGCTTGGAATGGAGGTTTCCTAACTCTTCTGAGTCCTTTCCTCCTAAAAAGAACCCAGTGTTGTAAATGCACACCCATTTGTGCAAATTCCACTTTATAATTTCTGAATCATTTGCTTCCTTTGCAATTTATTTTCATAGAAATTACGAAGGTCTATGGAATATGAGAAACACTGATAATTACTTTATGCTACATGCAAGACTTAGGGAGGAATCAACATTTTTTTCTGCTTTATTTATTTTACACCTATAAGCTTCTTTTAAAAATAGGTAGTTTAAAGTATATGTGTTTATTTTTTTGAGAGTGAGAATGCTCAAGCAGGGGAGAGGCAGAGAGTGAGAGGGATAGAATCCCAAGCAGGCCCCATACTGTCACCGAAGAGCCCGACATGGGGCTTGATCTAACGAACGATCTTGACCTGAGCCAACATCAAGAGTCTCTTACTCAACTGACTGGGCCTCCCAGTGGCTCCTCAAAATAGTTTTATGAGATATGATTTGTGATTTTTAATTTTTTAAATAAATATAAATGGCTTTAAAAGTTACAGAAGCTTCTAATATTTGCTGAATCATTCACACATCAGCCATGTCTTCTCACTTTCCCTCACATCAGCACCTGCACATGTTCTCAGAATCTTGCGTTGAACTCCCAGGATGGTGTGGACAGCAGGCTGAGCGAGCCTGTCATGATGAAGCAAGCTGACTGTCAAAAGGTATCCTTTCTAGGGAATGTTCAGAAACCGACTGTGACAAACTTTTTGTTCAAAGATGGCCCCAGCCTTGTCTTTATCCCACATGCCCCTGTGCTCAGTGGCTTCCACTGTCCCCATCACAAGGTGGGGCCTCAGCCCTACCCCAGGTCCCTGAACCATCCCTGGGGACAGACTCCAAATACAGTACAGCAGCAGACTCTCACTAGGGACCAAGGCCAGGTCATACATAGGAGTCTGGAGCGCCTCGTGAATGTCCTGGCACACCTACTCTTGGGATGTTGCTCAAAGGTCTTTTCTTTCTTAGACTCTGTTCAGGAGTAAAGTTTAGATCATGGCAGCCTCATTGTCCATACCCTTTATGGACATGTCTTTTACATCCATTGTAGAGATTTATTCTAAGCCTAGAAATTTATCTCTGAGCCCTTTCATAAAGAGGCTTATTGGATTGAGTCACTATTAGAATAAATATACTAATGGTGATCCCACTCGCCAGTAGCTGCAACAGATCTTTCAAACTAGAAAATTTTCTATATTTAGAACATTTCTTAGAGAGCTCTCCTTCCTAGCAGCTGCCTTCTTGGTATTTAGAGGAGGATCAAAATGAAAAGAAATCACAAATCACTATAAGGCTAGCCTTAGGGAGTCTCTTTATAAAAGAACAAAAATCAGACTTAGAACAAGAATTAAAAAGCAAATCTGACATCAGTGTCCCTTCTTATATCCCCTTCATCCCCAACCTTCTGTCCCTGAGCCTCCATAAGGACTTTGGGTCTCTGGACTCCTGGTCTAGAAACTTTCCCTTCAAAACCCAGCCCCAGCTCTTCAGCCAGTTTCCTTAAATCTGAAACTCCAACTCTCCCAGAAAAAATCCTTGAACTACCAGCTCCTTATTTTAACTCTTATTTCTTTACAAGATTTATAGGGAGTACCTTGGTCTGGCCTCCTGGCCTGGGAAATACAGTTTGCTCCTGTAGATGCTGAGTGTCAAGAAGTAACGGGAAGCCAGGAAGAGCAGTACAGCTCTTGCCATGGTGCATACAATTGCTCAGAGTCTCCAGGGCGTCATGATCAAGCTCTGTCAGTTCCAAACACTCCTGTGTGATGTCCTTGAGAGGTGTTTCCTGGACCCCTGTTGCAAAGAATTCATGTCCCTAGACAACAACAGATCTTTTCAATTTTAAAGTCACTTTACTTCTGCTCTTGAGGATCCTACAGAATTGAGAGACATTTTAAACATTTTGTAGCTTTTTACAACCCAACTCACAGACACCTTCTCTGGCAGCTAAGGGGAGTCCTTCTAGCCCATGAGTATATGGCTATTACCAGACAGGCCAAATGGCCCCCCTCACAGAGCACACAGAGGGCTGCAGCCTCTCTCTGGCCCTCCTGGGAATGAACAGGAGATGGCTCAACTGTTCAAGGGTTGATAGGAGTAAAGGAGGAGGCCTGTTCCTCCAAAGTGACTTGGTCTAGGGTTGAAATATACCCTCAGAAAGAAGATGAACACCCAAAAGTGCTTGTTAAGCATTTTATACAAACTTTAAAAAGCATGCTGTATTCAGTCTGGTAAGACCAGAACATAGAGATCTTCTAATTTCTGCTTCAGTGGGAAATTTCCTTTCCAATATCAAAAAACAGGGGCACCTGGGTGGTTCAGTCAGTTAAGCGTCTGACTTAGGCTCAGGTCATGATCTCACAATTTGTGGGTTCGAGGCTCCCCATTGGGCTCTGTGGGGAGCTCCAAAGCCTGGAGCCTGCTTCGGATTCCGTGTATGTCTATCTCCCCCCTGCTCATGATCTGTATCTCTCAATAATAAATAATAAACATTTAAAAATGTTTTTTAAAAAAACAGAAAAATCTACAATAGTGTGGTTAGTTGGAGCAGGCTACCATTAAGGAAAATAATGGAGGCCACTACTGGGTCTTTGGAAATAGCTGCAAGAAAACCAACAAAAAGAAAGGAACTAAGCCCAACATTTCTCGCCTGATAACTTGAATCTTTGGAAAAGTGAAAACATGGCAAAGAATGACTCCTAGCCCACTCCCATGTGTCCCTGTTTGCCTCCAGACAACTGCAGATATTGCAGTAAAATAGGGCATTGGAGGAGAAATTGTCCTGCGCTTAAGGAAAAAAAAAGTCTAAGAAACAATTTCCCCTAAGTCCCATAATCCCGAAAATTTTCATTTTTCATCATTGAGGGACAATTCCCCCTTTAAATGACGCATCAGCCAGTACTCAGTCACCCCTGGGAGCCTCCCAGAAACCTTCAGACAGAGGCTTATGAACTAGATTTCTTGACTGACGTTGGTGTGACTTTCTCTTGCATCTGCTCAGAGGACTGATCTCTACCTGTCACCTCTGACTCTCTTCAGGCTGTCGGAGTCCCGAGGCGACCCATCTTACTGCCCATGTCCCAGCCCAGCCCAGTATCTTCAGGCCCTCTTCACACTCCCCAGGCCTTGCTGCTTCCCAGCTGTTCACTGGCAAACCTTCTTGGTAAAGATTTGTTATCTACATTGAATGCCAATATAAATTGCAGTAAAAAACAAACAAACAAACAAAAAACCATTTATGTTTCCTCACCTTCAGGCCAAGCCCCAAGTGTCCTGCTGGCTTTACTGGGAGTTCATCCTGAGATAAATTCCTGTGAAGAGGATCAATCTTTAAAAGATACCTCAGTCAGTCTTTGGGCTACACATGTGATTGAAATTGAGTTGTTAGGAAATGGGAACTTGGGTGCATTTCTTGGGAGGGGAACTCACCCTCTCCCTCGTGGCTCAGCTTTCTCTCTCTAGAGACTCCAGGCAAGTGATACCCTGTAATAAACTCTCTCTTGAACTACAGCATTCTCATCTTTACCACCCAACCCTGTACCACCCCAAACTTGCAAATGTGACTCAGAGGGAAAATCAGTCCATCAGTTTGTACAGGATCATGGGGCCATAGTCTCTTTCATAATTTCTTGGCACCCAGTGCCCCCCAACCTAGCTGATATTCTTCATCATTCCTGCTGATGCAGCCTGGTTTACAGAAATGACCTGTGTGCAGTTTTGTTTCAATCCCTTTGCACACTGACTCCTAGTTTCTTGTGAAATCACAGTTAAAGGTAGACCATTCACCTGGGCTTGCATACACCAAAGGATAATGTGAGTGTCTCTCAATATTTTCCCAGGTCCTTAAAGTCCAGCTAGATACTGTAACTTCTACCCAAGAGTCCCTGCTGGCACAATTGCTACTGTTACCTTTTACTCTCTAATGAAAGCAAGCCAGGAGCTTGTATTGACTCCCTCTTTCTCTTAAGAGCACTAGCTAAACAAGGCAGACAGCTTACACAACTCTACATCTAGACTCCAAGGGGTGTAAACAACTGTTATCTATTTAGGATGTTGTGACCTGTTTAGGACATACCTCAGGGTATTCAAAATCTCATTCCAAATATTCTTGAGTCAATTTTGTTCATTCCTCTCCCCAAAATGAAACAAAGTTACATACATTTTTAGGGGCACCTCCAAAGGGTCCCTAATTTTGCAATTTTTTTATAAACCTTTGCATGCTCTTCTCTCAGATATCAATAGACTTTAGAGGCATTAACCTTCTTTGAAGACTTAAAATTGGCTCTGTCCACACCACAGTTCCTACCTCACCTAATTTTGACAAGCCCTTTCATTTATACTGCATGAAAAGAATGGTGTTACTTGCATGCATTCTGGAACAGACTTTTGCCCATCAGATATAGCCAGGAGCATAT